AAGATCTCATTCCTTTTGATGGCTGCATAATATTCCATTGTGTATATATACCACATCTTCTTTATCCATTCATCTGTTGATGGACATCTTGGAAGAGCCAGCCTTCAGATAGTCCTTTCTGGCTAAGTGTTAGAACAACAGATCCTAGTATAAATGTTTGGGCTGCTTTTAGTTTCTCTTAATCAAAATTACTAGATGACAGAATTTAAGAACTTGCTACATGTTATTCCTCAGTGTACCGATAATCATTTAAAAGTAAAGACTTTGTCACGCACAAAAAAAAAAAAAATCCTAAATGGAAGTAAATGTCAAGTTGTTTTTTAGAGTTTAGCAACACTGGTGTATGCAAATTGCATGCCTCTATTCAGAAGATATGATGTGTCTGGATTAATGTTCTCTATTGTTACTTTAAGTAGAAATGACTAGCCATGTATTTCACTAACAGAAGCACATTGAATGGAAAATAAAACCACTGCCCCAGAGCCCTTTCCGACACGAATGTATACATGTTTATCTTTCTCTTCACATTCTACTAGACAGCTGTGTCAGTGAAGAGACTTCTGGAAGTGTTTTCAAAGGAGGAGAGAGCTCTGTTGATAGGTCTACCTAGATTTGACTGGTGGTTGTTTAGTCATAGATGAGAATGAAAGGATCCCATTGTGATAGTTCTAAAGTAGATTCTGGAGCAGCTGGTTTGCCCAATGCCAGGACCAGGCTCTCTGGGCACTAAGGAGGTACTCAAGAGAATGAAATGACTTCCTTACTTTGCAGCTCCTACCATATCAGATGTTATATTTATTTGAATTCATCCATTTGCTGAATTTTTATTCAAGAAACCATGTGACTTAATGAAGAGGAACACAAGTGATGGAACCAAATTGAGTTCCACCCCTATACTTGCTTTGAGGACTCAGATTAGTTGCCCTTCCTGAGTTCCCTCTCCGCATCTGTGAAAGGTATATCAGTCAATTAGAATTCAATCACAGAAGCAGAGCCATACTAGAATATATATATGTCAAGGATTTGGCTTTATTCAATTGTGGCAGTAGTTAAACCGTCTCTGGGAGGCTCTTCTCTCCCTGCCTGTTGCTGGTACTTGAAATCTTCAGAACAGGCAGATGGATGTAAGGTGGAGAGGAACAAGAACAAGTTGGAATCCATGGACATGAATAGGAGCCTGGCAGGACCAACTTGAACCAGTGTCATTCCTCACTGCCTCCAACTTCAGTGAAGCTGGGTCCTGCAAGAGAGGCCGGCATCCTACATCACACAGCCACACACACCAGGCCCAGGAGATGGTGAAGATGAAGGAGGATCCAGGGGAAGGTGGAGCCAATTCCACGGCAGCTGCCCCAGGCCAACAAGGTGAGTCCACAGATCAGCGACAAGGTGGAGGAGTATAAAACAAAATGGCAGCCGCTTCGTATGCACCCTCAAAATCTGGCATAAAAAAATATCTCTTATGGCCCACCCTAACCAGAAACACACTGCAAAGGGGATTCTGGGAAATGTAGTGGCCATATCACAAAGCCACAAGGTGCAGGTTACCAGATCAACTGTATGCATGTCATGGTGAGTCATTAAGTGCGAAGCCTGGGACAATATGCAGTGATTATGATGATGATGGCATGAGCAACAGTCTATTCTGGGGGCCACAAAGGCCAGAAATATGTCTCCAGCCCCTGCTCTCAATTTCTTTACATTCTAACTTAAGAAAGAGCACATGCAGATGAGACATTATCGTTTTAACAATTCTCCACCATCACGCCTCAGGACCTGGCCAGTTCCAAATGGGGGCTTGCCCTTTAAACACTGAAACCCTTTCTTACTTTAATCATTTTCAGTGAACATCTTTGACAAGTGAATTTTACATTTTCTGACATCTTACGGAGCGTGAAGGAAACCACTTAGCCTTCCTTTATGACTCTATGAGTCATCACTGGGAGTGTCAGTTGTGGTGTTGTTCTATAATGGGACCAGTTGTATTGGGGGCAATTTAAGGGTGATGCTAAATGGCCCCATGATTGATACTCTTCTCTCTGGCTCTCAGCTGGCATGCCTCAATCTTTTCATTCTCCTAGCGTACGGCGGTCTCTCTCCCTTCTTTTAATTTGCTGCTTGCAATCTGCTATAGATTGAGAAACCAGATAACTAAGCTTGTTCAAACTGTATGCCAAGCACAATAAAATAAGCCCTGATGAGAACCTGAGAAAAACTCGTTTTGTTGGCTTTGTTTTCCGTTTTTCAGGAGCAACGTGATTTCAGTGCCCACCCCCCGCCCACCCCCAGTAAGTAGTCTCGTTTATTGTGTAGGTTACTAAATATACTTCTCTACAACATGGAGGCATTCCCAGCAAGTGAGGCCATGTACTGCCCTGGCTCTCTGTGTGAACAAAGGTTTTGCCAAAGCCCTAGGGGGGAAAATGAGTAGGAGGACACAGAGATCACACAGCAGTCTAGATGTCCTCAAAAAGACCACTTGTGACAGGTGGGACCACTATCACCCTGGGTTTAGAGATCTAGTTTCAGCAAAGCATCACCTAGCCCATGACACTTACATTGGTCATTTGAGGTTAATTTTATATTTGGCTCTTACTTGATTTCTAAATTTTATAATTTTAAAAGCCTATAAACATGGAAGGTTTATGAGGTGTGTATAATTGCAGGAAGCATGTGCCTGCAGGGGGAAGCATTTTCTTTTGACAAGCAAGAATAACTTCCCACTAAGCATCAGCCTTATCTGTCATGTTATTCTAATTTCTGTTTTCTGCTCACGTTAAAGAGAAATCTTTCAATTCTTCCTGTCTGGGGGCTGCTTTACCTTCCATCCTTCCATTGGTGGTGTTTATTTCTGCTTTGGGACATAGTGTAGAATACGAGACAAGAAATGGGATCTGGGGCCAGGTGGGGTGGGTATGAATCTCAGCTCTGCCAAATTACTAGTTTGGCATGACCTTGAGAAAGTTAACTGCTCTGTGCCTCAGTTTCCACATCCACAATCAGAGATGATACAGTATATACCCACTAGGTATACAGCAGTACGGATTAGTGGAAGCAATGCGTGGAAAGTGTTCAGAACAGTTCCTGGCAGAAAATGGAGGCTTCTCAAATGTTGGCTGTCGATGCTCTGGCTTTTCTGTCACTTCAGAACCTCACAGCATAAAATGATGCTGAAATGAAATGAAAGGAATGGAAAGGAAGAAGAGCCAGACCATGAAAGTTAATACTGGCATTAGAACAAGTATTGCTGTAAATCAAATTTATTTAATTATAAGTGTTTTTAATTAATTTCAAAGGAGAATGGCCATGCCCATCAATGTTTGGCAGAATGCCTGTGTTTGAGGATGAAGAAAATATAGTGTGTGTGTGTGTGTGTGTGTGTAAGTGTAAGGCTTTTATGATTAAAAAAATAATGAATTCAGTCATCAATTTAAAGCCCCGTTTGAAGTGAAATCACATTTGCATGACAAACAACACAACATCTACCAATTAGAGTCATGT